GTTCTTGAGTTATCTTGGAGTGGAAGCACCCTCTGCACTTCTGGACGGCATCTCAAAATGCATCCACGCACCTGACTTAGCAGCCAGTAGGCTTTTGTAAAGTGGTCCCTTAGTCTCGTCTCATTCTCTTATTCTCTTCTCTCACCTTCCTCCTTCCTGTGTGGGTGGGCATGGTGGGAGCAGAATCGAGCTGCTCTTCTCGCGCACGTACTCTCTCATGGACCTCCAACCGGGCGACCTGCAAGTCGTGCCAGACGTCATATGCCAGGTGCGCTGTTGTGCGCTGTGCTGCTGTGCTGCTGTGCTGCTGTGATGCTCAAGGATGCAACCTCTGTATGCGCGGAGAGAGGGACGAGGGGTGGCGAGTGAGGGGAGGGGAGGGGGCGGGTGGTGGGTGGGATGGGAAGTGTCACTGGTTTATGGGATCTGTTGCTGCTGCTGGGAGCTGGATTATCTCAAGGGTTATGACGGCCCTCCCACTCCACCTCCGCTCTCCCGTGCCCCACTTCTCCACCCTACTCCACCCACTTCCTCCCCCCCCTTTTTGAGGCGCCTCAAAAATCGTCTCTCCCGTGCCCCACTTCTCCACCCTAATCCACCCACTCTTCCCCCCACCTTTTCCTCCCTACCCTCGAACCCATTTCCCCTGCGCTCCACCGTAACCCACGCCTCGCCTTCCTAGACCGTGCACACTCTATCCAGTCCAATCCACATGTGTGTGTGCGCCCTGCTCCATGCTCCATGCTCCATGCTCCATGCTCCATGCTCCATGCTCCATGCTCCATGCTCCATGCTCCATGCTCCATGCTCCAGGACGGCAGCATACCCACGGACGGCACGGGGCTCATCCTGGCGTCTGCAGTGCCCCCCATAGAGATCGCATCAGGAGTCGCGTACCTGCCTGCTGCTGCTTCCTCCCCTTCTCCTCCCACGTCCGCCTCCGCACCCTCTGCCTCCCCGCCCTCCGCTTCCCCGGTCTCCTCTTCTCCACCCTCCTCCTCCTCCTCCCCTCCCTCCGCCTCTCCTCCTTCCTCCTCTCCTTCCTTCGCCACTCCTCCCTCCTCCTTCCCCTCCCCCTCCTCCTCCTCGCCGTCTCCCAGCCAGGTGCGCCCTCGTTCTCTCCCTTGTTAGACATTTCCTCTCTAATGCCCCCCATGCATCCCCATGCATTTCCGTCCATCCCCATTTATTCGTTCCCGTGACTCCTACATCCATCCTCTCGCCAGCCACATGCCCCATGTAACCCCATTCCATGCACCACTACCCTGCATGCAATGCACTTGTTTTGAGGCAAACGCATCATTCAACCTTTTTCCTTTGATTGAATTGGATCCGATCCGATCCAATCTGCCGCTGTCTCTACCTCATGCTTCTTGCCATCTGCCATCTGATCTCTTTTGAGGCGCCTCAATTTTTTTGAGTTTTGAGGCGCCTCATTTTTTTTTAGTTTTGAGGCTCCTCAAAAGCTCCTTGCCATCTGCCATCTGATCTCTCCCTCATGCTCTTCTGCTCCTGCTCTCTTTCTCTGAATCCTCCTCCCCGTTCCGTCTCCCCCCTCCTCTCTGCCCCCTTGTCTCCACGCCCCTTCGCCAGCAGCCATCTCTAGCAGCAGCCGTGGCACAGCCAGCAGTGCTGCAGGTGCGGGGGTATCTCAACGGTATGCTCTTCAAGGGCACGCTGCTGCTCGTCACACAGGTGAGGCAGGGGTTGTTCAGGCACCCAACGGTTCTGTTGCCAGTGGAGTGGGTGTGGGGGGGGGAATTGTTCAGTTGCTGCTGCTGCAGGTGAGGGAGGGGGTATCTCAACGGTATGCTCTTCAAGGGCACGCTGCTGCTCGTCACGCAGGTGAGACGGTGAGGAAGGGGGATGTGCGTGAGTGAGGGGAATGGTGCTGACCTGACTTATAAGGGTATCTCAACGGCATGCTCTTTTAAGGGCACGCTGCTGCTTGTCACACAGGTGAGGGCGCGGGGAAGGGAGGGCGGTGAGGTTGTGAGGAGTGGGAGGCGGTGAAGAGGCAAAGAAACACTTTTGAGGCGCCTGGACTGTGTCCAATTGTGCTGTGTCGTGGCTACTGACCATTCTAGGGAGACTTCTGACTGTGTGCAAGCATTGGCATCCATTTGCGGCTGTGAGGCTGTGAGGTGGTGAGGGGATGACGAGGCTGTGAGGCTGGGAGGGATGTTTCAGGGAACAAGTGACCTCATTCTTGAATTTTAGCATCACCTCTTCTCGCTCCCCCCTTCCCCTTCCTGCCTGTCCCTCCCCCCTGCAGTTCCCTGAATCGCTGAACGTGCAGCCGGGAGTGAAGATAGTGGTGCGGGAGAGCATGGTAAAGGTCACACCTGATCCGGTGCTGCTGCAGGCACGCAAAGGGGGCAGGGGCCAGGGCAGGGCCGTGCCAGCTGTCAACAAGCTAGAGGTCAACGACACCAGGTGGGCTGGGCTGGGTCCGGTTGGGCGGGGTTTTATGCAAAAATATCTGCTGAATTTTGTGAGGCTGAGTTGGTTTGGTCTGGATAAGGTGGGGTGGGATGGGGTGGGGTAGGGTGGGGTGGGGAATCAACCGCACGCTGCTGCTGCTGCTGCTGGCATTTGAGACGCCGCAAAAGTCTATCCCTCCCCCCCTCTCCCCTTCCTCTGTCCCATGAGCAGCAAGGAGCCATCAGGGAACCTTTAACCACATGCTGCTTTGAGTTGACTCAAAACTGCCCTTCCCCCTCCACCCCCCTCTCCCCCCCTTCTCTCCCCCCCGTCTCTCCCCCCCTTCTCTTCCCCCCTTCTCTGGCCCACGAGCAGCAAGGCACCATCAGAGGCGACATTCAACCGCACGCTGCTGCTGCTGCTGCTGCTGGTGCTGCTGCTGCTGCTGCTGCTGCTGCTGGTGCTGCTGCTGCTGCTGGTGGCTTTTGAGGCACCTCAAAAGTCTTCCCTCTACCCCTTTCCCACCTTCTCTCTGGCCCACGAGCAGCAAGGCGCCATCAGAGGCGACGTTCAACCGCACGTTGCTGCTGTTGCTGGTGGCGTGCGGGGTGCCTCAGGACCTCTTCCTTTCCCTCGCGCGCCGTCAGTGCGCCGAGGCTATCGCCCTCCCCTCCGACCGCCTCGCTGCTTCCAAGTGTGCGCTTTATGTCTAAGGGGAAAGGGGGAGGGGGGGTGGAAACGGGCTGGCTGGGCGGGCTGGGGGGGGGGATGTGTGCGGGCTGGGAGTGGGAAGTCTCTGAAGCAATTCAGAACGCGATTCTGTTGAGGTGTGTCCAGAAGCCGGCTGCTGGTGGCGTGCGGGGTGCCTCAGGAACTTTTCCTCTCCCTCGTGCGCCAACAGTGCACCGACGCCATGGCGCTCCCCTCCGACCGCCTCGCTGCTTCCAAGTGTGCGCTCCTGGGTCTAGGATGGAAGGGGGGAGGAGAGGGGTTGGTAGAAACGGGCTTGGGATGGGGGAACAGGGCGAGGGGAATGGCCCGCGGAAGGGGCTGGGGGAAAGGGTTGTGGAATGGTAGGAGGGGGTGCGGTTGTTGTTTGTTGGCCCACGATGGACTATGTATTTGTAGGGCGATGGACCCTTAGTTAGTTCGCTCCATGAGGCTCATGTGCATGCACATGGCGCTCTCTCATCTCATCGCCACTCTGGCCTTGCTCAATGTGGGCCATACGTACGTACCAGTCATGTTCCTGTCGGCGTGTGTGCGCGTGCGTGTGTGTATATGTGTACATGCATGCCCCATGTCCCCATGTCCCCATGTCCCCCTGTCCCCATGTCCCCCTGTCTCCATGTCCCCCTGTCCCCATGTCCCCCTGTCCCCATGTGCCCCTGTCCCCATGTCCCCCTGTCCCCATGTCCCCCTGTCCCCATGTCCCCTTGTCCCCATGTCCCCCTGTCCCCATGTCCCCTTGTCCCCATGTCCCCATGTCCCCTTGTCCCCATGTGCCCCTGTCCCCATGTCCCCCTGTCCCCATGTCCCCCTGTCCCCATGTCCCCCATGTCCCCCATGTCCCCCTGTCCCCATGTCCCCTTGTCCCCATGTCCCCCTGTCCCCATGTCCCCATGTCCCCATGTCCCCATGTCCCCATGTCCCCATGTCCCCATGTCCCCATGTCCCCTTGTCCCCATGTGCCCCTGTCCCCATGTCCCCCTGTCCCCATGTCCCCCTGTCCCCATGTCCCCCTGTCCCCATGTCCCCCTGTCCCCATGTCCCCTTGTCCCCATGTCCCCCTGTCCCCATGTCCCCATGTCCCCATGTCCCCATGTCCCCATGTCCCCATGTCCCCATGGCCCCATGCCCCCATGTCCCCATGTCCCCATGTCCCCATGTCCCCATGCCCCCATGCCCCCATGCCCCCATGCCCCCATGCCCCACATGTCCCCATGCCCCCATGCCCCACATGCCCCCATGCCCCATATGCCCCCATGCACATCACGTGCAGACATACTGCGCAGTGTGAACCATTCGTCAGCATCGCACGGAGCGAGCTACTTCATGCAGCCCCTGCAGATGCTCGCCAGTGGCATCCCGCTATCGGAGCCCTACCTGCAGGATGCACTGCACAGACGCGTTAACAAGGCAGCAGAGGTGCGTCATATCATGTGTGACCTCTGTTGTGTGCACCGCAGCTGCTGCAGATGCTCGCCAGTGGCATCCCGCTCTCTGAGCCCTACTTGCAGGATGCACTGCACACGTGTGTCAACAAGGCCGCAGAGGTGCGTACGTCACACGTGTGCGCTGCAGCAGAGGTGCGTGCATGGCCTTTGTTCTGTTGTGTGTGTGCGTCAACAGAGCCGCAGAGGAACGGTATGTGACCTTCTTGTCGCAGTCCATCCGAGTGTCTTTATACCACCATGATCCGTCACACTGGCCGGCCCATCCGCACCCATTGTCAGCCATCTCCATCTCTCTCGCTCGCTCCCTCTCCCCTTGCCCCTTCCCTCCATCGCCCCATCACCCCCCCTTCCCCCATCCAGTCACTGCAGCGAGGCCATCTACCAGCAGAGCGGTCGTACTACCTCATAGTTTGACAAGGGCCTCGGACGAGCTGCTGCCTCAAAAGCTGCTTCTCCCATTCTCCATCTCTCACTACACGCTCTCATCTCCGCCGCCCCATCACCCCCTTCCTCCCTCCCCAGTCGTTAGAGCGAGGTCACCTGCCAGCAGAGCGATCGTACTACCTCATGGGCGTGGCTGACCCCACTGCCTCACTGCTGCCTGACCAAGTCGTCGTGCTGCTGTATGCTGCCCTCTCTTGCTTCCACAGAAGCAAACTTCAAACACACACTTGCACGTTCATTTGAAGTTTCCGGTCGTTTTCGTTCTTGCTCCCTTGCTTACTTGCTCCCTTGCTTACTTGCTCCCTTGCTTACTTGCTCCCTTGCTTACTTGCTCCCTTGCTCCCTTGCCTGCACTTCAGTGCACGCTTGCTTGCTTTCTGGCACTCTTCGAGTGCCTCGCTTAGACCACGACCAGTGTTGTTGTGTGCATGCAATGCAACCATGAGCATACAGCACTAGCCCATCTGCCATCTCCTCTCCCTAACCCCACTCATGCTACCTTCTCATCCTTCTCTAATCTTATTCCAGCAAGGACGGTCCAGTGACAGGGCCGTGTGTGATGTACCGCAGCTTGTCTCTGCACCCGAGGCATCCTGTGCCTCAACCTGAGTTGCCCTGAAAGTAGGTTTCTTTCCCCCCCTTGCCTTCCCTTTCCCTCTCTGCCTCTCCCCACACCAGCAAGGACGGTCCAGTGACAGGCCGCTGTCTCATGTACCGTAGCCCATCGCTGCACCCGGGGCACCTGCGGCTGATGAACGCCGTGCACTCGCCGGCCATCGCCGCCCTGCTGCCGCCCAGCGCGCGCTACTGCGTCATCTTCCCGGTGACCGGGCGGCGGTCGGTGGCGGATACTATGAGTGGGGGCGACCTGGATGGAGACAAGTTTATGGTGTGCTTCCACCCGCAGGTGAGCATGCGGGCTTGTGTGGTTTGGGTGTAGGCTACGCATGGCCACCTACTGAGTGGGGGTGATCCCTGAGTGGGGGTGATCCCTGAGTGGGGGTGACCCCTGAGTGGGGGTGACCCTGAGTGGGGGTGACCCCTGAGTGAGGGTGACCCCTGAGTGGGGGTGACCCTGAGTGAGGGTGACCCCTGAGTGGGGGTGACCCTGAGTGGGGGTAACCCCTGAGTGGGGGTGACCCCTGAGTGGGGGCGACCCCTGAGTGGGGGTGACCCCTGAGTGGGGGCGACCCCTGAGTGGGGGTGACCCCTGAGTGGGGGTGACCCTGAGTGGGGGTAACCCCTGAGTGGGGGTGACCCCTGAGTGGGGGCGACCCCTGAGTGGGGGTGACCTGGATGGGGAGAAGTTCATGGTGTGCTTCCACCCGCAGGTGAGAGAGAGAGCGTTGCGTGCTCGTGGGGTTAAAGTGGATTCCACCCTCCTCTGTATCCCCTGAGTGGGGATGACTTACATGGGCACTCACCCTACGTTCTTACCTCATCGTATACCCCCCCCTCTCCTTTTCCCCTTCCCCTCGCGTTCCAACAGCGCCCTTGCCCTCACAGTGCTGCACAGCAGGAGTGGGAGTGAGTAGCGTGGAAGGCTGGAAGGCAAGCAAGGGATACAGCAACAAGATCCCACCACTAGTCCATGTCACCCGCACCATCCCTCACTGGCACTCACCCCACCATCTATATCCCTTTCCTGCCCGTGCAGGTGACTGGCGCATTCAAAGAAGTGGCCCCTCCCACGCGGACAACTCGGGGGAGGATGAGCGCGGGGGCGAGGCCACCGGCGCAGCTGAACCCAGCAGAGCTGGAGGCGCAATTGCTGGGCATGTGGGGCCGGCTGGCTTCTGGGCACAGGTGCGTGTGGGGTAGAGAGTAGAGAGAACCATTTCAGTGGTCTGATATCTGGTTAGGTGAGTGGTAGGCTGGCATGTGGGTCCAGGTGCGTGTGTGAAAGGCCAATAATTCTTACAACCGGCAACTTGCAACCTGGACCTAAGTGGGAATATAGTGCTAAACGCTATCGAATACGCTATACGCTCGCCAATTTTTTTTTGGGGCAGCCCGGCCAGAAAATTTCAACCTATACGGTTCGCTTCGGAATTGCACGACGAAGACATTGGCGGGGTCAGATGGCACGTCCGCGCTGTGTGCTAGCGTGGACGTGGGTTGAAAGTTCGTGTCGCAAATGGAAAGTCACGTTCGTCGAGTCGCGCCTGCACGTTCCCTCACATTTTGGTGTTCACTATCAGTACCGCATTCAAACCCTTCGCAACCAACACCTCTCCAATTTTTGTTGGCCATCTTCCCACTCCCACAATCAACTCGCCATAAAACAAGCACACCCCCAACATCCAACTCATTAGGTCTTCTCTCGCTACCAGCAGAGCACTAGGCATTCCCTAGCGCATGGTGCCTATGTCGACGAGTACTACCTCTCCTCTAACGCCACCGTCAGTTAACACCGTTGGCAGTTCGCAAACTCTTCTAACCGAGGCACGGGAGTATCTCCCCGACGTTGACCATGCCTTCTTCAAGCACTTCCGCATCATCAAGAGGGTCGAGGGAAAAGCTCAGCAGTACGAGTGCAAGTTCTGCAGCAACGTCTACACTGGTGCTGCCATCCGATGCGCGCAACACTCCACGTCGTGGAAGGGGATGAAACGCCGTGAAGTGGTGCTTTGCAAGGATGCGCCGCAAGATGCGCGCTTGGCCATGCGCGCGAAATACGAGGCAAAGGCTGCTGCGGCCGAAGAGAAGAGGCGGGCAGCAGCTGAAGCGGTTGCCGCGGTCAAGGCTAATGGTGTGAAGCGGGCGCGCATCACCGATTACCTTGATGGGGATGCGGCTGCAAGAAAGAGAGAAGCGGACGAGGCACTTGCGCTTGCTTGGGCCGCCCTCCATATCCCCGAGCGCCACATTGACCATCCTCTGATGGTCAATGCATTGAACCTCGTCAAGCGCGCCGGCGTCGACTACGTCCCTCCCAAGAGGAAATACATCAGCGGTGCTGGCCTTCTCTCGTGTCGCAACGGAATCGAGCAGGGTTTGGTGGGCATTAAGGCGAGCTGGAAGAGGACGGGCGTGACGGTTTCGTCCGACATGATGACGGACCACAACGGCAGGCCGCAGGCCAACGTGCTTCTCGTAAACGATTCCGGCGCCGTCTTCACCGACTGTATTGACTGCAACATGGAGAGGAAAACCGGAGGTTACGTGGCGGGAATTCTTAGGCCCGTGGTGGAGGAAGTGGGTCCAGAAAACGTTGTTGCGTTCTGCATGGACGGGGGGTCGAACTATGCGGTGGCGGTGAAGCAGCTCTTACAGGAGTGGCCGCACATTCAGGATGTGCTGTGCGCCACTCACGTATTGGATCTTCTCATGGAAGATGTCGGGAAGATGGGATGGGCTAAGCCGGTGGTCGACAAGGGAGGGGAGATATCTAGCTTCGTCCGCAACCACCACTGGACCCGAGGGTACCTGCGGAAGCCGGAATTGGTGGAGGGGAAGGTTCTGCAGGCGCTGAAGCCGGCTGGAACCCGATTCGGGACCAACTACATAGCCATATCCCGGCTATGTGCGATGCGCGGCAGCCTTACCAACATGGTGACGAGCGAGGGTTGGAAGGAGTGGGCGGTAGGGGACCGGAAGAAATCGTGTGACGGGTTCAGTGCGCTGATCCATGATGCCGCCTGGTGGAAGACGGCCGAGTTCTTCGTCGCACTGCTGAAGCTGCCCTTTAAGGTGATGAGGCAGACGGACGGGCATGCCGTGGGGATGATGGGGAGGCTGTACGATTTGATGCTGCAGTTGACTGAGGACATGGGGGGCTTGCTCGATGCGGACGAGGAGCAGCTGAGCGACGGGGACAAGGACAAGATCCGCCGCATCCTCAGAGACCGCTGGGACGGCAGCCTCGCATGCGCCATGCATGTCGCTGGCCGCATCCTCAACCCCGCGAATCAGGAGGAAGAAATTTTCGGCACTGAAACCGAGTGCACGAAAGTCTTCAAGGCGTTCATCAGCCAGCAGGCCGAGTTCCTTGCGAGCCGCGAGGATGGGGGGGATGACGCGTGCGACATCTTGCTTGAGCTGGGGGACGGGCTGAGGGCGTTCCTTGACATGAAGGGTTCTTTTGGGATGCCGGAAGCCGTGGCACAGAGGAAGCTGGTGAAAGAGGGAAAGTATAGCATGGTGAAGTGGTGGCAGTGGAATGGGACTGATGCCCCTCGAGTGGCGGGGCTCGCGGTACGGGTGCTGTCTCAGGCCGTGTCAGCCTCACCTTGTGAGCGTGGATGGTCCTCGTGGGATGCCGTTCACACCGCACGTCGCAACAGGCTCGGATCCGCCAAGTGCAGGGACTTGGTCTATGTTGCGCACAACTGGAATGTTGTGCGCAACTGGCACACGCGCGTTGATGTCTTGCCACATGTGGTGCCCGGGATTGGAGCGGAGCCTCCAATCCCGGCGGGATACAATGGGCTGGAAGACGAGACGAAGGGAGAGGATGAGGAGGAAGGCGAAGACGACATCCTCGAAGACGAGTACGCTAACTAGAGGGGGCAAATGTGGCTTGCTGTGGGCGGCTAGTCCTAAGGAGTAGTAGTACGTAGCTTGTCTGAGAGAGAAGTGATGGTCGTGATGGAGTAGTGATGATAGTAGTGATGGTAAGTGATGATGGTAAGTGATGATAGTAGTGATGATAGTGATGATAGTAGTGATGACAGTAGTTATGTGTAGGCCGTGGTATATGTGTAATGTGGAAAAAAAAAATCACTGAAACTTCAGGCCCCATACCCCACCCCCATACCCCCCCCCCCCCCCCCCCCCCCCCCCCCCCCGGGCTTTTTTTGACCCTGCCCGGGAAGTTTTTTTTCTGCCCGGAAAAGCGTTTTCCCAAACCCGTCCCTACAGCGTATAGCGTATATAAGAGTGCGTATATACGATAAGCGTATATACGCAATAAGCGAATATTCCCACTAAGACCTGGACGGTCCAGGGTTTAGGGTTTACCTGGACCCACAGTATACCTGGAGGACAACCACAGCCCGCAGCACGTGTAGGTCGCCTCAAACTCCGCCCCTCTGCCTGCATTTTCCCATATCTTTTCTATATCCGTGCTGCGTGCGGCAGTGTGACGGGGCGCGCGTACAACCTGCATGCATCGTACCTGGACGAGCACGGGCCGCAGCACGAGTACTGTGAGCAGCTCATGCGCATCTACGAGCGCGCACTGGACGCCCCCAAGACAGGCGAGCAGGTCAGTATGTCGGTCGGTGAATTGTTGCTTGTTGAGTCCCCTGTGACAGAACGGCCCACAGCGCAGCACGAGTAATGTGAGCAGCTCGTGCGCATCTATGAGCGAGCGCTGGACGCCCCCAAGACGGGCGAGCAGGTCAGTCCATGGTGAATCATTTATTCATGAGTCGAAGCCGAAAGCACGGCCCATAACACGAGCTTTGTGTGAGGTGAGCAGCTCATGCTCATCTATGAGCGTCCGCTCGAGACGCTCCCAAGACCGGCGAACAGGTCAGTCAGTTGGTCGTCCAGTCGGTCAGTCCATGAATTGTTGATTGTTGAGTTGGTTCTGACAGTCTAACCCGCAGTGCAGCACGAGTGCTGTGAGGTGAGCAGGTCATGCTCATTTATGAGCGTGCGCTCGACGCTCCCAAGACCGGCGAACAGGTCAGTCAGTCCATGAAAACGCCCAAGACCGGTGATTATTTGGTCGGTCCAAACAGGCTGGCGGTCTGTCCGTAGTGGCTTTGTCGCTTTTTGTCAACCTGATCCCTCCTCCCCCTTGCAACGCCGCCCCCTTGCAACACGGTGTTGCCCTTGATCTCGCTCTCTCCCTCCTCTACCCCATTAACCCTACCCCCTGCCCCGTCCCCTTCACCTTTCTCCCCTCTCCCCCCCCACCAAGTGTCCGTCCCCAACTACCTGGAGCGCACGCGGCGCCCACACTACACACGGTGGTGGCTTTGAACTCGCTCTCTCTCTCTCCCTCCGCTACCCCATTCCCCCAACCCTCTAACCCCTCCCTCCCCTAACCCCCCCATCAGGTGTCCATCCCCAACTACCTGGAGCGTACGTGGCGCCCACACTACACAGTGGTGCCGGACCAGGCTGCTGCATTTGAGACGTCTCAAAAGTCACAAACCCCCCCTCCCTCCTCCCTACCATCAGGTGTCCATCCCGGACTACCTGGAGCGCACGCGGCGCCCACACTACACGGTGGTGCCGGGGCAGGCGGCTGTTCCCAACCCTCTGCCGCTGCCCCTTCCCTTTTCTCCCCCTCCTCCCCCATCAGGTGTTCATCCCCAACTACCTGGAGCGCACGCGGCGCCCACACTACGACCAGGCTGCTGCTCCTGCAGGCTCGGTGTTCCACTCGCGCTCCATCATGGGGCAGATCTTTGACCTTGTGCAGCAAGCCAGAGTGATGCCATTCGGTGAGTTGGAGGCTGCTGCTGAGGCCGCTGTGTGCTGGGGTGCTGCCTGCCAGGTGTGAATGGTATGAGTTGGGTTGACCCAAAGGTCCACGCACAGTCCATCATGGGGCAGATCTTCAACCTTGTGCAGCGAGCCAGAGTGATGCCATTCGGTCAGTTGGGTGCTGCTGCTGCTGCTGCTGCTGCTGCTGCTCGTGCTGCTGAGGCCGCTGTGTGCTGGGGTGCTGCCTGGTGTGAATGGTCTGGGTTGAGCTGACCCAAAGGTCTGAGCTGACCCAAAGGTCCACTCGCGCTCCATCATGGTGCAGATCTTTGACCTCGTGCAACACACCAGAGCGGTTCCTTTAGGTGAGTTGTGTGCTGTTCTGCAACGCATTGGGCTGCTGCTGCTGCTGCATTTTAGGCTGCTGCTCCTGCATTTTAGGCTGCTGCTCCTGCATTTTAGGCTGCTGCTCCTGCGTTTTAGGCTGCTGCTCCTGCATTTTAGGCTGCTGCTCCTGCATTTTAGGTTGCTGCTCCTGCATTTTAGGCTGCTGCTCCTGCATTTTAGGCTGCTGCTCCTGCATTTTAGGCTGCTGCTCCTGCATTTTAGGCTGCTGCTCCTGCATTTTAGGCTGCTGCTCCTGCATTTTAGGCTGCTGCTCCTGCATTTTAGGCTGCTGCTGCTACGCCACTGCATGTGCTGAAAGCAGCTGCCTTTTTACCATAAAATGCCCGTTGCTCTCTTTCTCCGTTCCCCTCCTAACCTCTCCCGTCCAATCTCCCGCTTTGCCTGCTCCCGCCTCGCTCCTCCATCCCCTTCAGAAGCCAACCCATTAACAGCATACGAGCTCGACCCCGACCTGATTCTCACCCAGCCGTGTGCGCCGTCTGTTGAGCTGAAGGAGAAGCACGAGTTGCTGGACGTGTGGAAGAAACACTGCCAGGCGTACAATCTGAGAATCTCTGCAATCTTCTCTCGCAACCTCTCGCCCAAGCAGCGCGACCTGCAGATGCAGCTGCAAAAGGAGTACTACCGCAAGGTGATGGGGTGGGTGTGTTATGTTGAACGGTGTTTCTGAGTTGGCTAAAACTACAGATGCAGCTGCAAAAGGAGTACTACCGCAAGGTGATGGGGTGGGACTGGTGGATGCATGTTCTTGAGCTGGAAGAAGAAGAAGAATAGAGAGAGAGATATGAAAAAGGAGAGAAAAGAACGGATGCAGGTACAGGAGGAACACCGCAGCAAGGTGGAAAAGAGGCTGACTGGGTTTTAATTTATTTGACAAGGGTTTTGGAATTGCTGCCAACTCTCCTCTGCCTCCTTGCTTCCTGCTCAGCCACAGCCACCCAAGATTCTCTTGTTGAGCTTATATCACTCCATGTGTTTCCCCTATGCTGATCTAACCTGCAGATTCTCTATGGAAACTGGTCCCCATCCTTTGAGGAGCCATGTGCGCCGATGTATCTGCTGCGGAAAGCCAGCGCGATATATGAAGTCGTCTACACTGCTGCCCAGGAGAAAGCTATCAGGCAGGTACAGGAGAGGTCACAAAGGGGTACATGCTCTCTAGAGGAGTCGCTTCACAAAAGGCCACCTCTGTCGTTTGCATGGATGGTTGCTGGAGAGCTATTGTGTGAGATCAAGGCGAGGCGCAGTGGGAAATGGTTTCTGGCATCCCAGAAGCAGTTCCTGCTCATGTCTATGCCGGGAGGGAGGCGTGGGAGGTGGGGTGGGGGAGAGGGCTGTGTGAGAAGGGTGGTTACTGTGGGACCTGAGGGACGGGTGGTTGTGATTGCTTCACAGCAGGGAGGGACGGAGGATGATGGGGATGAGGGGAGTGATGGCTGTGAGGATTAGGACTGGTGAAATGGTCAAATGTGAACTTGTGTCATGGGAGATGATGAAATAAGGCACAGTGTCAGCTGCAAGGCTGCCTGATGCTTCTTGCATATAACATCACATGTAGTTTTTTTTTTGGGTTGCGAAGCAACCCTGGTACGATCGATTCTGCCAAATTTTATTTTCATATTTATTAATTTTAAATAAAATATGAAAATAAAATTCATCAACTACAGTACCTTTTCCCATACTGTGCATAGTGAGTAGTTGTCAATACTGTTTACAGTACATCAAACCATATGATTTTTTTTTATCAGGTGTTCTGTGCAGATATGTTGTCCTGTTTGCATTATATGTTTTGCTATTAAATTGTGTTGTAATAATGATGAATAAATGCATGTGCATAAAAAACAATGCTATAGGTGTTGAGTTACTAAGTAAGAGTAAGCTTAGGTTTTAGGTAGGGCCTAGGCTTAGTAGCCTAGGCCTAGGGGAAGTCGAGGAGGTTGTGCCAAGGTGAGAGTCGAGAATGGGAAAAAGTGATGTTCACTATAGCACTAGGGTACATATAGTAAACAGAGCATGCAAAGAAGGTGCACCACCAACAGTTTATAATAACTACACTAAACTACAGCTACAGGCAGTTACATATAAATTCTAACAATAGGATGCATAATGTTTAATATGATATGTAATGTATAATGAAGCACATGCATGCACATAATAAAAATAAAATGCGTGACAGTTAACGACCCAAAAACTAAGCTACCGCCATCCCCTGCCTAGCATGGGGGGGAGGTCAATAGCATAGATTTTGAATAATCAACTATCACATGAAACAACACAATCTGTAAATCCTAAAAAAATTGTCAACCCTATCAAATCCAGTTCGAAGTGGCAACACACGAGTCACTTTGTGCGCCAATCAGGGCTGACTTTTCGAATAAAACCACTCTGATTTTTTTGGCCCCCCAATTTTTTTTAGTCTGAGGCCCATTTTCCAAAAAGTGAATACTCTGATTTCTCAGGAACCAGAGAAGTATAACTCTGAAAATATTATAATTCAGAGACTAAGGCAGGTTTTCCTACTAACGAACCTTTTGCACAAGTTCGGAGGGATGGGTTTTCCTTGAAGTAACAGGTATGGCGAAGGGGAGTTCGTACTCTGTAGTATGATAACTCATTATCCGGTAAGCAAGTTCTCTGAATTTTTTGTCAGATTTATATGACATAGCTACTGTAGGCTATAGTGGGGTAGCACATATGGGGTACAGTTTTCTAGGGTTTACATTTGTACCCAACTTTCCCTTAGTCAATTCATTCTCGTTCAGTTTCTCATGGTATCGAGCAGGTTCCCCTGTGGGAACTGTTCCTAGGGCCCGCCACATTTTTTTTCCTGCCCGGAGCGCGCTCTCCACTGCCCGAGTCGCGCTCCCCTCTCTCGACCCTGTCGCGCCGCCTTAGCGGCCCCGTCGCGTCGCGCTTGTGGCCCCGTCGCGTCGCCCTCGCGGCCCCTTCACGTCGCGCCGCCCTAGCGGCCGCGTCGCGCCGCCCTCGCGGCCCCGATCCGCCGCCCTCGCGGCTCCTTCGTGTCGCGCCGCCCTCGCGGCCCTTTCACGCCGCCCTCGCGGCCCTTTCTAGCCGCCCTCGCGGCCCCTTTCTAGCCGCCCTCGCGGCCTCTTCAAGCCGCCCTCGCGGCCCCGTCGCCTACCCCTGCGGCCCCGGCGCCGCCCTTCCCTGCCTCGGCGCCGCCTCTGCTGGCCCCGTCGCCTACCCCTGCAGCCCCGGAGCTGCCCTTCCCGGCCCCGGCGCCGCCTCTACTGGCCCCGACGCCGCTCCACCCGGCCCCGACGCCGCTCCACCCGGCCTCGCCGCCGCTCCACCCGGCCCCGCCGCCGTCCCCACGCGGCCCCGCCGTCACCACCGAGCCGCCGGCGCCGCCGAGCTACTGCCGAGCCGCCCGATCCACCCGAGCCGCCCGAGCCGCCGCGCCACCTGAGCCGCCCGAGCCGCCGGGTCGCCGAGCCGCCGAGCTGCAGTTGCTGCCGAACCGCCGTACCGCCGAGCCGCCCGAGCCGCCCGAGTCGCCGAGTCGCCGAGCCGCAGTTGCTGCCGAGCCGCCGTACCGCCGAGCCGCCCGAGCCGCCAAGTTGCCGACCCGCCGAGCCGCCGAGCCGCCCGAGCCGCCCTGTCCGGTAAGAGCAGCGCCTCTGTCACTGCACTGCCCTTACCCTACTGTTCGCGCTGCTAGTCCACTGCTGTCATGGCTACCCCTAGTGTCCTCGCTTTTGACGCTGAGGGTCGGGCCATTGACTTTGACGTCTGGGTAGATGACCTGCAGCTTTTCCTACAGTGCGATAGGGCAGACGGTCTCTCCCTCTTTGACCTCACCTCTGGTGCCTCTCCTGCCCCTGCTGCTGATGCCGACGCCACTGTTCGCTCACAGTGGGCCACACGCGATGCTGCTGCACGTCTTGCTGTGCATCGCCACCTGCCTACCTCTGAGCGTGCGCACTTTAGCCAGTACAAGAGTGCTCACACCTTGTACGACGCTGTAGTTGCGCGCTACTCCTCCCCTGCCACTGCTGCACTGAGCCGCCTCATGCTACCGTACCTCTTCCCTGACCTTGCTGCCTTTCCCACAGTCGCTGACCTCATTACGCACCTCCGCACTAGTGACACTCGCTACCGCGCTGCGCTTCCTGCTGAATTCTGCGCCAAGAACCCCCCCCCCATGTACATCACCCTCTACTACATAGTCACCCGGCTCCCTGACTCCCTTCGCGTAGTCAGGGACCACTTCCTCTCAGTTTGCCCCACCACTCTCACCGTTGACCTCCTCGAGAAGGCCCTCCTAGCAGCAGAGAAGAGCATAGTCGCTGTAGGAGCCTCTCGTGGTGACCCTCGCACCCCCGTCTTTGAGGGGTGTTCCCCCTCCCCCCTTTTGCCCTCTGTTGCCTCTGCTGCTGCGGCCGACCTCGTTGGTTTCGAGTCGGTCGGCGCTGCGTCTGCCCCGAGCGGGAGACGCCGCACCGGCAAGGGCAAGGGGGGCAAGGGTGCTGGAGGGGTTGGCGGGGGTGGCGGAGGTGGCGGTGGAGGCAGTGGAGGGGGTGGGGGTGGTGGTGGGAGTGGTGGCGGGGGTGGAGGTGTCGGTGGCGGCAGTGGAGGCGGAGGCGGCGGCGGCGGTGGCGGTGGGAGCGGAGGTGGCGGAGGTGGCGGCGGTGGAGGAGGCGGCGGCGGAGGAGGTGGAGCTGGTCGAGGTGGCGCTGCGCAGAGGGTCGGCTCCGGTGGTGGTCAGCGCCAGCAGCAGCAGCAGCAGCGGCAGCAGCGCACTCGTGACATCCCCCCCCCTCAGCAGCTCCGTGAGTGGTACGCTGCACGCCAGCGGGGTGGGGGTACTGGTCCGTGCACCTACGTCCTACGCACCGGCGACCGCGCGGGTGAGCAGTGCGGGGGTGCGCACTCCACCCAGCGCTGCTTTGGCCGCCTGACGGACGCTTGGTGTCACCAGTTCCCTGAGGCCACTGAGATCCCCCGCTGGGGCGAGCTGTCTAGGGCGGGTGTAGCTGTCTTTGACCTTGACTTTGATGCTATTCTTGCTGCCATGTATGCTGTGACTATTGGTGATGAGGGTGACTGTTACCGGTGTTTTCCGCCCGACCCGAGCATTGAGACTGCTGCTCTAGGTACTGGTGAGGCTGCTGCTCTAGGTGCTAGCGAGGCTGCTGCTCTAGGTGCTCGTGTGTCTGCTCCCTCAGGTGCTGGTGAGTCTGCTCTCTCAGGTACTGCGTCGGCTTCGGCCTCCCACACCTTCACCCTTGACTCGGGGGCTTCTCGCTCCTTCTTTCGAGACCGCACCACACTCACGCCGCTTGGCCGGCCAGTTGCAGTCTCTCTGGCAGACCCCTCTGGGGGTCCTGTCCTTGCTCACTTCTCCACTGTCCTCCCGTGTCCGGCGGCCCCCTCTGGCACCCTGTCTGGTCTTTACCTCCCCTCGTTCTCTACGAACTTGGTGAGTGGTGCTGACCTACAGGATGCGGGGGTTCACCAGTTCACTCCTGCGAGTCAGCGGGTGACCCACTGCACGGACGCTCGGACAGGCCAACACCTGGCCACGTTTACACGTCGGCCGGGGTCGAGCCTGTACACACTGACCACTGCGTCTCCTCCAGTCACTGCGTCTGGTCAGGTAGCTGCGTCGGGTCAGGTGTTTGCTGCAGCGTCCAGGTCTGGTCCTGAGTCTGCCCCCTGCTCGTGTCGCCTCCTGTCGCACGAGACTCTCCTCTGGCACCACCGCCTTGGTCACCCCTCCCTGCTTCGTCTCCGAGGCATGGCCTCTCGTGTCCTTGTCTCTGGTCTTCCCCGGTCCCTCCCTCCCCTTCCTCCGGGGCCAGGCCCTACCTGCGTCCCTTGTGTCGAGGGGCGGCAGCGGGCTGCCCCTCACTCCTCCCAGTTTCCTCCGACAGAGGCCCCGCTACAGACGCTTCACATGGACGTGTGGGGCCCGGCCCGCGTCCGTGGACAGGGTCACGAGCGCTACTTCCTGCTGGTGGTTGACGACTACTCGCGTTACACCACAGTCTTCCCCTTGCGCAGCAAGGGTGATGTCACTGAGGTGTTGATCGACTGGATCCGCGCAGCTCGTCTCCAGCTCAGGCAGAGCTTCGGCTCGGACTTTCCTGTTCTGCGTCTGCACTCTGACAGAGGTGGAGAGTTCTCCTCTGGCCTTCTGCGAGCCTACTGTCGTGCACGAGGCATCCGCCAGACCTTCACGCTTCCGGACTCTCCACGGCAAAATGGGATTGCTGAGCGCCGCATTGGCATGGTCATGGACGTCGCCCGTACGTCCATGATGCATGCGGCTGCCCCCCATTTTCTGTGGCCGTTTGCGGTTCGGTACGCGGCGCATCAGATCAACCTTCACCCCAGGGTCTCCATGCCGGAGACCTCCCCAGCTTTGCTGTGGACGGGGAAGGTTGGCGATGCGTCTGCGTTCCGTGTCTGGGGATCTCGGGCGT